GGCAGGAGAAGGGGGGCACTTCCGGTCTGGGCCCCCCCTTAACCCCCTCCCCCCTCCAGAGCCCTCCCGCGCAGGTGCAGAGCGAGGGAGAGCCGGGAAAGGGACGCACATCACACAAGATGCCTCGCGACCGCGTGCAGGGACGCGCGGACCCAGCCCCACTGCCCGGCAGGGACGTAGGGTGAGACGCCCGGCCAGGGGACACACCGACCACCACCACAGACTGACAAAGAGCGCGCCTCACCACAGTCTGCAGGGTCCTGGCAAGGCAAGGCCAGGACATTCAGACTGGGCCCAGGACAGTGAGAGACACCCCTCCCCCCAAAAGAAGCCCAGGCCAGGGGGCCGCACCGGCCACAGCGCCCAGAGCGCTGCCACCAGGAAGGAGCAGCAGTGAGGCGGCAGGCCAGGAGGGCCCAGCTGGACCTCCCTCCCAGCTCATCCTGCCCAGGATCACAAGGAGGACCAGGCACTGGGGGGGAGGGGCAGAGAGGCGGGAGGAGGGGGGCCGGGACACACCACTCTCCCAGCAGCACATGGGCTGCCGCGCCAAGACAGCCAGCAGGAGAGAAGGAGCCAGGGCCAGAGGGCCCAGCGCTTCTAGCTGGACTCCCGTCAGGGCCAAGGACCAGCCCAGAGAGACACTGACCAAGACAAGGAGCAGGGGCTGACTGGGAGATGGGGAGACTCGATACTCACTCGGTGCCCAGAGCCGGAGACGTGCCAGGTGAACACACACAATGGTCAAGCACCTCGGACACTCGGGGCGCAGGGGGGCACTCCAGCCCCACCCCCACCCGGCCCACCCCCACTGGCCAGAACACAGAGACGTAGGTTTGGACACAGTTAATGGAGGATGCTACGAACAAGGGACCCTGGCCTGGATGGGGGAGTGGAGGAAGAGAGTCATCTTCCAGACACCAGAGTATGACCCTCCCTCCCCCACAGCCCTGCCCTCTGGACACCCAAGACTTGGGGTCCTCCCCTCCTGTGCCCTCCAACATCCCCAAACCCCAAACCCTGAATTCCAGGCTGATCAGCCCACTGCAGACGCATGCAGACTTGCAGGTGCTAATGTACACGCGTGGTGACATGCAGGGGGACAGACACGTGCGGAGACCGCCTGTCCACAGGTGTGAGCACACACCAACACTTCTGGCAGCACTTGCCCACGGTTCAGAGAAGCACGGTCCACACAGCACACACACGGCCGCAGGTACAGAGCAACAGAGCAAGTGGAGACCCCGGCCCACAGAGTCTGCACTGGGCACCCCGCGGGGGCCGCCAGCCACACGTGCACACAGAGGCGTGTCATGCGTGCCTACGGAGACACATGTTCACGCACTGGGAAACCTCAGCTCTGGTCATGCACACGCACACGTTCATACCCCCCACAGGCACCCCATCCTGACACCGGCCCGCCCCGCCCCTTCCCTCTCACCTCCCAGGGCCAATCCCATCCATCAAGCTTCCGAAGCAAATCAGCCAGCAGCCAGGGAGGGGAACAGTGTCAGTGCACCCCTCCCGCAGGGCCCTGCCCTCTCCCTCCCCACCCCGCGAGGCATGGGATTCGCACACTTCCACTGCACAAACTGCACAGGGACGGGGCTCGTGAAGGAGGGGACCAGGGGACCAGCCAGCTGGCTCCGCCAGGGCCGGGCCGTCTCAGTGGCTGCTAAGGATGGGCCAGGCCGGGCTGTGTAGTCTGAAACCAACTTTGTCTCCTCCCACCCCTGGATAAAGTTTTAGGGGGAGCAGGGTAGAGAGGGGACTCAGAGGTGGAAATATTTGAAGGAGCAGAGTGAACGGAGGTTGAGGTGCGAAGGGGAGCCCCCGAGGGTGTAAGGACATTTACCTTGGGGCATCGAAGCTGTCGTAGGAGCCCACGGTGTAATGCCGGAAGAGCCTCTTTGCCTTGTCACTGCGACTTTCTGTAGGGGATGAGGGACAACCCTGGACTCTCACTTTGGAAACCACAAGGCCACCCCCAAGCTCCTGGCTCAGACCTTCCCATCTACCTGCCAGCACCCCATCCTCATGAGGGGCCAGAAGGGACAGGAGAAACTTGGGGTGCACTGAGGACACTTGGGGCTTTGGTGTTACCTTGCTTTCCCTCCTGGGAGCGGTTCGCCACCTCTTCCAGGCAGTCAGAAGGGAACCAGCCGACACGACCTTTGACCTGGCCTTCCCAGAAGCCGCCTTCCCCGATGCTCAGAACTGGCAGGGGCGAGGACACAGAAAGGCAGGTGTCTCTGCTGCCCAGCCCCCAGCACATGGACCACCTTCCCGTGACTCCTGCCCCTGGGCTGGGGTCTCCTTGGTGGCCGTCTGAGGAGGGGTTTGAGTCTCACACTTGCACTCTAGCTTTCTGGGCCCAATGGGGACAGCTAGAAACACTGGACAAAGATTGGGGTACATGTGTGGGACATGTATCCCAGCTTAGGTTGGGCCTGGCCTCCCCGGCAACTGGTCACGGCCCAGCTCTGTAACTGCCCTGAGCACTCCCAGGCAAGGTGGACTTGGGGCACTGCTTCTGGGATAAGCTCCCACCTTGCCGTCACTGCCCCTGCCACCTCCTGTCTCCTTGCCAGTACTCTGCTGTCATTCGCTTCTAGACCCCTCCCACTGCCTCTCTGCCAGAACCACCCCTTTCCTCTGTCCATCACCTGGAACTACAGCCCACTCCCTTCCAGCCCCGCCTCCCAGCCACGCGCAGTTAGCAAGGATGGCCGGGGGCTGCTCGGCAGCTCCCACGTGGGCCAGACCCTCAGTCAGACCCTCAGCACACGCTTTTACAATCCCTGTTTTACTAGGGAACACTGAGGCTCAGAGAGCCAAGGTCATTTGCTCAAGGTTACAGAGCTGGGAATGGACAGACCCTGAGGAGCCTGTCTCCGGAGCTCAGCTGCCTCTCCCGCAGAGGCTCCTCAGAGGCTCCCTTTCCCCCCACCCCCTGCAACAGCGACTCAGTCCCTGTTGTCCCTCCAGTGTCCCACCTTTGTTGTATTTGCCCTCCTCGCTCAGCCTTCACACCTACCCAGGGTAACAACTGTTCTCTGTTTTATAGGTGAAGAAGCTGAAGCTAACACGGAAAACCCAGTGCCCAGGGATGGCTTGGGCCCTGCAGGCCCGGCCATGCTGGGTGCTGAGCTGCGGCCTTCACCACGCACAGCCTCCCTCCTGGAGGGCGGAGGAGGGGAGCTCAGGTCAGGGGAGAGCAGGAGACAGGGTGCCAAGGGCTCGGCTTCTTAGCTGGCTCTGCCAGGCCTGGCCTGCTGGTCTGTGGTCACCCGCCTGTTCACTGAGTCTTCCTTAGTACCACTGAGGCTGGGACCAGAGTAGACCCAGCCCACAGCCAGCGCGGCCCTGGTGGAGCAGCAGGCCAGTGGCTGTCAGAGCTGAGGCCGGCACTCAGGGGGAAAGAATAGGGTGTCTGGAGAGTGGCGGGGTGGGCGTATGTGAATTAGATGGGAAGGGGGTCCAGGAAAGTGTCCCCCAGGATGCGATGCCAAGGCTGAGACCTAAAGGATGTGGTTGAGGCCAACCTAGGATTTGAAGAGGCGGAGAGTAAGGGATTCCAGGGAGAAGGAAGCGCATGCAGGCAGAGTTAGGTCCAGCAAAGGGTGTGAAGCACTTGAGGAACAGGGAGAGGGAGGGCTCTGGGCCTTGCGAGTGCAGGAGAGAGCAGCATGAGAGTAAGGTCAGCACGGAGGGCAGGGGAGGGGTTGGGGGCCCGGTCAAGGCCTCGGGCGTGGGCTCTCTCAGAGCAGAGAGCACCTGCTGCCTCACTGGGTGTGAGGAAGCCGGTGGTGCCATGGACATGGGTGTGCCTTGATGCAATGAAGTCGCTTTGGGGAAGGGGGGTCTACGGAGAGCAGGGTGTCCTCGGCTTGCTCAGGACTGCTGGGCGTGGAGTTCGGAAAGAACTCGTCCATGCTCTGCCAGAACAAGTGGTCCCTCAGCCCTGGCCTGCTCCCGCCACGACACGCTTCCCAGCACTCTGGCTCTGACGATGACTGCCCCACAGCTAGCTTCCGCTTTTGGCAACCCCTCCATTCATGCCCCCCGCACGCGTGCGTGCAGGCCTTCCGTGTGCGAGGCCACGGACCTGGGCCCTGGCAAACCGGAGACGCGTGACCCGCAGCTGTGCCTGCGTGACCCAGCAGCTGTGCGGGCTATGGGAGACAGACCACAAAACACGCGATGCACAAGACCTGGTGCTCAGCCTGAGCAGCCCTCAAGGCCCACTCGGGCCCACTGCCTGCCAGAGGCCCCCTCGCTTACCCAGGCTGGCCTCCAACAGCCCGAAGTACGCACCCAGCGGTGGTCTAAGTACTTTACACCAGCCGGCGCCTCTCGTCTTCACAATGGCTCCGTGTAACACATGAGGAAACGGAGGCCCAGAGGTTGCCTCCCCGAGGTCACCCCGAGCGGTGGAGCCAGGATTTGAACACGGTCAGCCTGGCTCTCAGCTATCGCACTGCTCGGCTCAGGGAAGCCTGGAGTCTGGCAAAGAGCTGCTGCTCGGCCTCATCTTAACTCCCACATCTACACTCGCTTCCCGTGCTCCAAAGGCCGTTTTGTCCAAGCAGCAGCCCCGTGAAAGCCACGAGCGGGGACTCCAGGCACCATCTTCCAAAGACAGAAAAGCAACAGAGATGAACCCCGCGAAGAGTAGCCACTGTCGAGGGCCCTCGCCCTGGCTGGGCTCCACACCTGCCCGTCTCGTCTCGGCAGAGCCCGCAGCAGAGCCCCGCCCATCCTCAGATGAGAACACCAGGTGGAGGCGGCCGTGACACCATGGCTGCTCGGCCTCACACTCCATACGGTAAGGGCCAGGCCACGGGGGCCTGGACTGCGTGTCACTTCCCTACGCGATGCTCGCTCATGTGCCGTACAGGGTTCAGGACACCTTCCCGGACGGGCCATCAGCGTCCAGTGAGACTGCCCGAGTCAAGTGCTCAGCGGGGCCTGGCATGGGCTCAGTGTCCCTGGAGGCTCACCGCTGCCCCTCTGCCTCGATACTGCCCCCTGCAGCGTCGCCACCACAGCTCTGCTCCTCGGAGGAGCGCGCGCCCGGGCTCCAGAGGCCTCCGAGGGCTCGCAGCATCCTAGGTGCTGGAGGGCAGGTGCCACCTGCCCAGCCTGGCCCCGCAGCCCCGCCAGACGCCGGCCTCACCCTCGCTCTCACCCTAACGCCGGCCTCCTTACCTTTGATCTTCTCTCCCTTGCTGAGGGAGATCTCCCCCTCAGCCTGGGCCTGGTATGACTTCACAGCCATGAAGGAGCGTCCGGGTACCGCTGAGTAGAGCTTCCTCCGCCTGCCGCGGCTGCCCAGGGAGCCCCCAGGGCCCCCTGAGCCCCCTGTGCCCCCGGCAGGCCCTTCCCGGGGCGTCCCGCTGGAGCTGAAGACACAGAGGGTGTGAGAGGCAGGGGGGGGGGGGGGGGGGGGGGGGGGGGCACCTCCAGGAGAACAGGGCTCCTTGGGTAGGGGAGAAGGATGGAGCATCGGGGTGGGGAGCAGGTGAGTCGGTCTCCTAGCTCTGGTGTCTCCGAAGGGAGAGGGCATTGGGGGTCCCCTCTGCCTTCCTGCTGCTGCCTCTGCCCCCTCTCCTGCCTCCTCTTCTGCTGGGCCCTCTGCGGCCCTGCTCGCACTGCCTGCTCCAGCTTTCTGAGGCTGAGCGCATACACCTCGCAACTCCGGCCTCCCCTGGTCAGGCCTGCTCCTCTGCCCACCCTGCCCAGCCATGGTCCCTCTTCCTCAGGACACACAGGCCCCTCCACCATCCTTCTGGTCCACCTCACCCTGAGTGCCCCCCGCCCGCCCTCCCTGTGTCCTCAGAGTCACCTCTCTGCGCTGGCTTCCTGTCCTGCAGGCTCACGCCGGAATGCCCTCCCCACTGCCCTGCCACCCACGCCCTACACTCTGCCTCTCACCTTGCCCTGTTACTGTCTGTCCTCGGGGCTGGAAGTGACTCTCTGGGGGGTTCTCTTTGCCCCCCACCCAGTCCCAGTCACGGAGCAGGCACTCGGCTGAAATTCGGTGCACTTGAGGAGGGGGCCAAGGGTAAGCGCAGCCCCTCTCGCTCCCCCGGGTGGACGGGGACCCACCAGGCACTGGCAGGAAGCCAGCAGCTGGGTGGCCTCCGGGAAGTGGCAGCTCTGGGGAGGGACTCGGCAGGGTTGGGGACTGGTGGCCAGGGCTGAGTCTTCCCCTACCTGGGCCGTCCGCGGGGCTGCCTCTTGGCCTCCTCGGGGTGCCTCCCCCGAGATGGGGAGCGAGCCCGGGCGCCCCGGGGGCTGCTGGCACTTCGGAGGGTCCCACTGCTGAGCTTGGTGCTGGGGGCCGGGGGCTGTGACTGGCCCTGTGGCCCCGAGGTCGGGCCAGGGGCCCCGGAGGACGAGGTCCCCGGGGCGGAGAACACCATCCAGTCTGGCAGCGCCATGCTGGTGTCGCTGTTGGCCCGCAGCAGCGCTGGGGGCACCGTCAGCCCTGCCCTCGGGGGGCCCCGCCGCCGGCTGCGTACTTGGGAGACTCCTGGAAGGGCACTGAGAGGGTGCAGTGGAGGGGGGGCAGGCAGGGCCACGTGGGCAAGAGGTGGTGGGGGGAGGCAGGGGGAGAAAGGACCGAGATGAGAAGGGGCAGGGCGCCTGAGTCCCCCCCACCACTCCTCGGACCTTTGCTTCTCCAGGGTTTTCTCAACCCTGCCCTGGCCCCAAGTCAAGTCCCCAGCCCCCCAAGCCCATCACAGTTCTCCCCGTAGCCTGCTGCCTTCACTCACCCACGTCCTGTTCCCGGTGGTTCCGGATCAGCTCCCCCAGTTCGAAATTCCCAGCAATCACAGCCACCTGGGGGCAAGGGGGCAGCTGGTCAGAGGCCGCAAGCGTGGGGGAGTGGGGAGGCTCCCCAGGCCTGGGCTTCCAGCCCAGTAGCCCCCAGACCGCCATGTCTGCCCACGTTCCCAACGGCCCCTCCTTCTCCTGCCTCCCCCCGTGCCCTACGCGCCCCGGACCTGGAATGGGGTCTGCCCGTTGTTATTCTTCACGTCCTTGTTGGCCCCTCGATAGAGGAGGATCCTGGCACAGGTCTCCTGAGGGTGGCCGGTGGCACAGAACAAAAGGAAGAAAACCGAGGTCACTGTGAGCGGACACAGGCGCCACGCTAGGATTTCAGGAATCACCAGGTAGACACCACCCTGCCCGGGACAGCAGCCACTTGCCAGGCGTGGCTCGCGAGCACCCGAAAGGTGGACAGCCCACGGGGTGCACCTGAACCTACGCGGAAAGGGCCCGGGTTCGTGTCTGGGACCTCCCTCTACCCCCCGGGCGCCTGCCAGCCTGGCCAAAGGGGTGGGGAGGTGGGGACGGGTTACACCATGGGGACCTCGTGGGCTCCTTTCTCTCTGTCTCTGATGGAAAAAATAAAGCAATAGGGGCTGGCAGATGGCATGGTGGCTTAGGGCGCTGGACTCCCACGTGGCCAACCGTGGCTCAAGTCCTGGACCTGGTGGCTTGCTTTTTCACTTTCTCTCTCTCTCTCTCACTCACTCTGTTCCTCTCTGGTTAAAATTAAAATAAAAAAGAAAGAAAGAAAGAAAGGAAGGAAGGAAGAAAGATTCCCTCCAAAAACAAATAAAGTTTTTTGCCTTTTTTTTTTTTTTTTTAAAGAGGGGTCAGCAGGTGGTGGGGTAGTGAAGGGTGCTGGACTCCCACATGGCTGACTGCAGTTTGAGTCCCGAACCTGGTGGCTTGCTTTTTCACTTTCCTCCTCTCTCTCTCTCTCTCACTCTCTCACTCTGTCCCTCTCTGGCCAAATTAAAAATAAATAAACGAGTATAAAATAATGTTCAGTAAAATAATTTAAAAAAGAAAGAAATCAATAAACAGTAATACAGCCAGTCCAATCGAAGGTGTGCTGTGTGTGAAATACACCCTGGCTTCTGAGAGTATAAGGAAGAGAACTGAAATATCTCTCATCACGTCTCCATGGTGAAGAGATAATATTTAGGATACACAGTGCTAAGTAAGATGTGTTACTAACACGGATATCGCCTGGCCCCTTTTCCTCTAGTTAATGTGGCCGTCAGGACGTTGAGGGACGTGAGGGGCCCGTGGCGTGTGCTCGACCCTGGCCAGTACGAATGTCCACGGGCCTTCCCCAGCTCTGCGCTCCGACACTGGGCCCCAGGACTGCACGCCGCAGGCAGAGCCGCACACCGGCCTCCACCACTAGATGCCAGCATCGCTCCCTCCCCTGGTGACTCCGTGGCCACGTGTCCCTTGTGAGGGGTTGGGCCCCAGCTGGGAACGTCTACACCTTGTGGAGGGCCGAAGCTCACTGACTGCTCGACAATTCCACGGGATGGAAACCGTCATCCCAATTTTACAGGTGAGGACACTAAGCCTTCTGTGGGAGCCCAAGGTCACCCGGCTGGTGACGATCGGGGCTTGTCAGACCCCACCCTCTCGATCTTCATCACACCCTCTGCTAGCCACCGAGGAAGGGGGACATATCACGAGGGTGTGGAGGGGGCCGGGCCTGCAGGGCCGGGCGTCATGGACACCCGTGTTGAGTGACTGTCAGTGTCAAGCACTCATCGCTCCCCGTCACTCCTGGCATGAAACCCAGCGTCCTTGCCCTGCGCGGCCACCCGCCCTCACCAGCTTCTTCTCCTACCACTTCCCCTGCTCCCAGCGCTCCAGCTGCCTGGCCTCCTGCTTCCTTTGACAGGACCTGCCCCAGGGCCTTCGTGCCAGCCTCTCCCTCTGCCCGGAGCACAGACCCGAGATCTCACTCAGGTGCCATCTCTTCAGAGAGGCCATCTCTGCCCGCCCTGTCCAGAATGCCCGTCCTGCTCCCCAATTCATTTGTGTTTATGTGACTGGCTATGGGTTGGGGAGTCCTTGGAGCCAATGTTCATTTCATTTAAAAAATTTGGGGAGGAGGCTGGCAGGTGGCATGGTGGGTTGACTCCCACATAGCTGACCGTGGTTCAAGTCCTGGACCTGGCAGCTTGCTTTCTCACTTTCCCCCTCTCTCTCTCTGGTTAAATTAAAATAAATGAAGTTATATAAAAATAATTCTTAAAAAAACACATTTTTTGCTATAGGGTACATGAGTGAGAGAGAGAGAGAGAGAGAGAAAGGGAAAGTGAGAAATCCCCCCCTGGTAGGATGGCCCACTGCAATCCTTAGGCTGTCTCTCCAGATTTTGGGCATGCACACAGTGCTTAGCATGTTTTTCAGGCTGCCGGGTCTGGGACTCAAACCACACAGTTGGCGATGTGGGATCCAGCTGCCTTAACCACTGCCCCACCTCGCTGGCCCTGCTAATTTCCCTAACACTGTCTCCGGGAGCCGCCGTCTTCTCTGGCGTGTGTCTCTTCAGTAACCCCCACCCCTTACACAGGGAGGACTCGTCAGCGGTGCCCACCGCCTGGAACCCTGCCTGGCCCACAGCAATGGTTCAGGTGACAGAGGCCAAAGAGGGAACTTCCGCTTCTCGTTGCCTCGGCCTGGCCAAACCTAGCCTGGGCCCCAAGTCCACTCCACTCCAGCTCGCTCTGACGCCATTTAACCAGCACCCGCCGAGCACCTCCTCCGAGGACAAACCCAAGAATGTTTATCAGGGCCCAAGCTACAGCACGGGCGTGGAGAGGGCGGGTCCCGCACCCAGGGCCACACAGCCGGCTGGGGCAGCAGGGACCGAGCCGGTCCTCAGACCCTAGCCCTCATCTGGCTCATGGAATGGATGACTCCGCCTGCCGGACGCACCACGGACAGAGCTTTCGCTCCCTGTGTGCGCCTGTGTTCACACACGCCGTCGCCCGGCTGCCACGTGTGTCCTTGCACATTTTCACACACCCCTACCCGACCCCCACGGGGAGGGGCACGGGGCCAGAGCGGCGCCCACTAGCTCAGGCTCACCCCCCACTCCCACCAAGCCAAGGCGGCATCCGTGTCTAGTGAGTGGCTCCCTCCGCCGGGTGCCCGGAGAAGCTCGTGTTTCCAGGCGTCCTCACACTTACCTCACGCCCCGCAATTATCTGTCTACACGTCTGTCTCCTCGCCAGACTGCAAACTCCCCCCACCCGCCCCAGGGCAGGTGCCAAGTCTGATCATCGCACGGCCCCAGCCACTACCATCCGGCACACAGTGGGTGCTCAAGAAACACGCACAGAAAGGAGGAGGATGGAGGATGGGGGGTTGGGGGTGGCCACGATTCATTTGTTCAAATCATTCATTCATTCAGTCATGCGTTCGCTGAGACGCCGCCTCGAGCTGAGCCATCACCTGTACGTGTCCGGACGGAAGCCTGCACACCCAACCCATCTGCTCGTTCATTCACTCATTCCCTCATGCAACAAAGATGCAGCTAGGCCTACTATGCGCTGGGGCCTCGGGACCGAGAAATTCATAGACCAGGCCCGGCCCTTGGGGAGCTCACCACCTAAATAAAGACCCGGCCTATGGAGAGCGACACCCCAGGAAAGCGGGGCGCAGAGGGAGGAGCAGCAGGGCTCAGTCCTCGCTCCCAGGAGCCTGCCAGCCCGCCTGGGAGGGAAGCCACAGGGCGGACGTGGGAGAGAGCTCACCTTTGTTAGCCACTGTGCCCAGCATGAGCCAGACACGAGCCTCCTGGTCCTTCGGCAAGGTGGGTGTCACTGACCCACTGCTCAGGGAGGGGAAACGGCTGCCCGGCTGCCCACGAGGGGTAACTGGCTGCCACCTCACGCTCTCGCTCGGGCTCCCTGCCGCGGGGAGGGGCACGGTTTCTGTCTGCGGACTGGCCCCACTGGCCCCGGGGTAATGCCAGTTCCCCTGATGGGGGCTGCCTTCTAGGGCGACCACTCAGCCCCTTCGAGCGGCCGACAGCATGTCTGTTCCAGGGAGGAGCAGGGAGTTGGGGCCGGGCTCCTCCTCTCTCCACCGTGCACAAGCCACCAAGTCAGAGGACCGAATGTGTGCCAGGGAGCGGGCCCAGAGGTGCCAGCACCGGGTCGGTGCGGTCTGACAGACAGGGCCTCCCTCTGCGCAGGGCTGCAAGCTCGCTGCCGTGGACTGCACATGGCCGCGGGCTGCACATAGCCATCGGCTGGGGGGGGGGCGCGGCGACACCCCCCGCCCCGCGAGCT